ATACAACGCCCGCTCATTATCGCTGCATCTGGACTGCCAGTTGGGCCAAATGCAGCAGCTATAATGACCGGGCGTTCTATTATCGCTGCATCTGGACTGACAGTTGGGCCAAATGCAGCAGCTATAATGACCGGGCGTTAGTTTAGTTGGCACCCCCATGAAGTGCTGAAATAAATATAAACGCGAGTTCGAATCCAGATGCAATCAGAAGAAGAAGAAGAAGAAGAATGATGACAAGCAATGACAAATTGCTTCTGCACACACTCACTGAGTCAGACGAACAGAATAAAACAATTCTGAATTATCTTGGCCCGGTTAGTTCAAAAAATGATGATATATATCTTTCTTTTTTTTTTTTTTTTTTTTGGTAGTTATGCCTTTGTGATTCACAGACAGTCAGGGTTCGAAGAACTCGTAAGCTATCGATGGACAATTACATGTGTGTATGCCACTTAGCAACATCGATCGACTACCTTCTTCCCGCGAATACAACGTACAGTCATTATAGCTGTATGTAGACTGAAACATACCCCCAAAAAATAAAGCTATAATGACCGTACGTTGTATTCGGGGGAAGAAGGTAGGTATTGATGATATATCTGAAGACTGTCGCCCTTGGAGGAAAAAAGAAGAGAGAAAAAAAAAAAGGGAAACAGGATAAATAGTCTGCAGCAGATGTTGTTGAAGCAGACGATATATATCAGACATACATACATCATAATAGCCCTTGTCAGACGCTTTTGTGCTTATCTTTCTGAACCATTGCCCATCCTCATTGCCGCCGTTGTGGGAATTTTTATTCTGTTTCCTTTTTAATGCGTGCTATGTTGGTGCTATGTTGGTGCTATGTTGGTGTCGTGCTGAGTTTGTGCTCTGTTCGTGTATGTTGGTGTGGTGCTGTGTTGATGCTATGTTGGTGCTATGTTGGTGTCGTGCTGTATTTGTGCTCTGTTCGTGCGATGTTGGTGCTATGTCGGTGCTGTGTTGGTGCTGCGTCCTTGCTATGTTCGTGCTATGACAGTTTTGCGCTATGTTCGTGCTATGTTCGAGCTATGTTTGTGCTATGTTCATGGTATGTTCGTGCTATGTTTGTGCCGTGCTGTCTTTGTGCTATTTATGTGCTATACTAGTGCTTTGTCAGTGCTTCGTTAGTGCTATGTTAGTGCTATGTGTGCTATGTTCGTGCTATTTTCGTGTCGTGCTGTGTTAGTGCTATGTTAGTGCTATCGTAGTGCTATGCCCGTGCTCTGTCCGTGCTATGTTCGTTCGTGCTGTTTTCGTGGGCAGAAAGTAAAATTCCAAGTTTCCACTGAGGAGAGGTCCATTGGTACTATCTGTGTGCTTAGAAAGTATGATCCTGGTCTTGAAACAGGTGGGACTTTCTGGACCTGCCCGGCCGGGCTTGACCCTTCAAGCATCCAAGAACTGTCGAAAGGCATTATGACGTGCGGACATAAGATAGGGTTATCCTTGGAAAAAGAAATAGGTTTATCCTTGAAAAAACGAAAAAAAACATAAAAACTTGAAACAATAAAGTAGGTCTATAATTAGCACGCACTTGCGGCATAAACCGTTCAAAGATCTCTCTCTCTCTCTCTCTCTCTCTCTCTCTCTCTCTCTCTCTCTCCCCGCCCCCTTGTCTACGTCTCTTCTGTCTCCCGCTCGTGACTTTGGGGATGTTGAATCTCAAACCAGCGCTGTGGTTTTTGCACTCTCTCTCTCTCTCTCTCTCTCTCTCTCTCTCTCTCTCTCTCTCTCTCTCTCTCTCTCGCTCTCGCTCTCTCCCACCCCCCCACGTGTCTCCCTCTCTTCTCTCTCTTGCTCGTGACTCTCTCTCTCTCTCTCTCTCTCTCTCTCTCTCTCTCTCTCTCTGTGTCTCTCTGTGATTAGGGTTAATTGTGGAGACTGTTAGCTGTCCGTTGGGTGCCCTGGCTTTCTGAGTGTTTCTCTCGTTTGCTGATTCTGATTGGGGGATTGTCTACTATTCTGACTTTTTCTCTCCTCTTCTTTGGGGGATTGGTTTATTTACGAGCTCGCTCTAATAACCTTAAAAGTTGTGTTTTTCCTCCTCAAGTACTTGGAATTTTTCTGAAGTGAAAAAAAAAGGTTTGAAAACCCCATTGGTGTATTAAACTGTACATGCTTTTGAACTTGTCAATTATTTTTCGATAGGCGAACGATTTTCAGAGCTCGTTGGAAGTGCCTACTACGTCGCACCGGAAGTGATTGCGAAGGACTACGGGCCGGAGGCGGATATTTGGAGCGCAGGAGTTATTTTGTACATGCTTCTTTCGGGCGCCCCGCCGTTCTATGATGGTATGAGATGTTACATTTGATTTAAAAATCATTTTTAAATCATTTTAAAATCGTTTTAAAATCGTTTTTAAAGTTTTTACTTATATATGTTTATTGCATCTACTCTGATGGCGATATCTTTTTGATATGTTAAATTTTAAAGTTTGTAAATTGAAAATGGTACAAAATATGTGTAAGATGGAAAAGAACAAATGAATTTTGATGGAGGATTTTTTTTTTTTTTTTTTTTTTTGGATTTGTTGGTTAAACCCTCACTACCTTTTGCCATATGTCGGCCGCGAGCACCTACTAGTAGCCTACTCGTGAAAAATATATAGCCGCCGTGCGGCCATTGATTTTTTTCATTGACGGCGCGTTGCGGCCGAATTTGTTTTTTTGTTTTTTTTTTCAAGGCCCGCGGCCCCACATATGAGAAAGGTAGTGGTGGTTTAAATAATAAATAATAAATAATAAATACAGAACTGGGTTATTGTTACCTGCAAACTTGCAAAGTGAATAACTCTGTCCTTTTTCTACTCTATCAGTTTCACCTATGCATAAAAAGGAAAAGAAAAAAAACTTAAAAAAAGGAGTTTCACCCTACTGGTTGGCTACCAGAGTGGCCGTGACCCACTTGCCCGGCCGAGCCAAAAAAAAAACACGAAGTTGAATATATTTATTTATTTTAAATATTTATTTATTATTTTGTTTTTAATTTGGTAAAGAATTTCGATGTGACCCTGAGGCAGAAGTTGTTCAGTTTATTTTTCTGCATAACATTGTTTTTTTTGTTTTTTAGATTTGTTTAATATTTTTTTTTTGGGGGGGGGGATAATTTGTGAACCACCCCCGCAATTTGAGATATATGCCAAAATGCCCCTAAAAGATGTGGGTAGAGCGGAATGCCCCTCTGACAATAAAAATATTTTGTGAAATGCCCCTGGCGTCCATTGGACTCCCATTCTTGCAATATACCCCTACTGGGTACCGTCCAAATTAGCAAAATACCCCTACCGGGTACTTGTCAACTTCTCCTAGGCGCAATTGCAAAAAAGGCCAAGGCCCAAACTGGGAGGTCCAGATTGCAAAGTTGCACACCCGCCTGACACGGGCAAAACACAAACATTTCGGCCCAAAAGGGCATAATTCTGCTCTACATATCTTTCAAGGGCATTGTGGCATATATCTCAACTTATTATGAGGGTATATTGCAAATTATGATTTAATTATCCCTTTTTTTTTTTTTTTCCCTGCAGTGACCTTCCCTGGGCCTTTCCCGACCGGGCCGCCCGTACGGCCTGGGCAGTCAAGGAGGCCCAGTTCGTACCCCAGGTTTCACTTTCACCTATCTTGTATGCACGTGGTTTGTGGCTGGTGGGGTATTTTTTACTATTTAGTATTTACTGTATCTAGATACTATCTCTGATTGTGTACATGATGAGAAAGATGCAGAGGCTGACCATAGTAGATAGTTAAACTTAGCTTTTGCCGAAACCGATTGATTCAGCGGCCCGAGCGATTCCCACTGATATTCACAGATAGTGTCTAGACTCTAGATACAATTCTTAGGATCTACTGGTGGGGTATTTCTTACGATTTCCTGTATCTAGACACTATCTGTGATTGTGTACATGAGAGAAAGAGAGAGCAATCTAGCTATTGAATTTTGCTGAACGTCAGTAGAAATCATATGGTAAATGAAATTGAAGCGATACACAGAGAAGTGTATGTGACCATAAATACAAAAACTTTGCTGGAATTTGAGCGTGAAGCTGATTGTTCTTTTTTTGTATAGAGATTTATCATATGGCTTCGTGCCAAGCGACCAGAGATGACTTTCTTCTTAGTAGTCCCTCTTGATGATGGTGATTGTGAGGATGGTTGTGACGATCGTGAAGGCGTTGTTTTTTTTTTGGCCTCTTGTCGTGTGATGGTGGTGTGTGCTCCTCTTTTTGATTGCAGTGTCGGAAGAAGGAATTCTCGGTGCAGTGAAGAGGGGGGTGTTTGACTTGCAGAGCGATCCGTGGCCTTTGATATCGGATCAAGCGAAAGATCTGGTGAAGGGAATGCTCAAAGTGAAGCCTACGGAGCGGTTAACGGTCGATGAAATTCTGAGTAAGGCTTCTGCCGGGTCTCGCATCCCGCCCTGGCCTCTTTATTTTATCCACTGCATACAATGATTGATTATGATAAGTGGATAACCGACCATGGATTGAAAGCTTCGGACACCGGTTCACTGTGGATCACATCCTCAGGAACTTTCTTTGTCACTTCTGACAGTGCGCACTGGCATCTCAGACACCGACACACAAACTCAGAGAGAGAGAGAGAGAGAGAGAGAGAGAGAGAGAGAGAGAGAGAGAGAGAGAGAGAGAGAGAGAGAGAGAGAGAGAGTTGCACTTGTGACCAGAGAGAGAGAGAGAGAGAGATGTGTGCGTGTGTGTGTGTGTGTGCTGTCTCTTATACACATCTAGATGTGTATAAGAGA